AAACAAACTTGCGTTTTTAAAAGCTAAAGGAAAGCCCTAGCAGTGAGCTTATCAATTTTTCCTACATCGTTACTGGTACCCTTATCTAAAGTACCGATTGACATCCACAAAAGAAAATAGACACACTTTTGTGACCTCAACATCGTCATTAAGCCGTATCTATCTCGTTCAATATCTGACGAACGTATATTGAAAATATTGATAATTTTTAATTGGTGTTTGTTAATGAACAGCATGCCGCTGTGTACAACGACACGGGCGAGGCTAAGTTCGATTTCTGGTGAAATAGTTTTTCTTTCTAAAATGTTTTTTGGTTATTAGACAAACTATTACTCCCATATGCCAAAATCTAATACATTTTTGACGTATGGAAGCCAGACTTAGCGTTTAGTTTCGTTTCTGAATCTTACTCCGTATTCTTGAATGTCAATCAAACTTAAATCTAGTTTGAGAGGGTTTCAATAGCTGTCAAACCATTTCTTCTGTATGAATTTGACAGCGCTCAAGATGAGACTGTGACTGGGGAAAACTCTTTATAAATATATAAACAAGCTGCCCCCGCGAGCTTTGTTTCTCCTTATTGTGATTTTACTTAGCCTACCTTTTTAGTACATACCAACATGGAACATGCTTTTTTGCTATGCTACCCCAAAGACTGTTCGGTTTCCTGGAATGACAATTTTTAGGTTTTTCTGTGATTTTTCTCTATATAAACCTCAGAGTTCAAGTTATAAGTCCTTAACTAACAAATAAAAAATAGGGATTGATCGTAGAGGGGTGGAAATTAAGGGTTGTATGTATTTTTGTATGCTGTATCATAAAAAAATAAACAAACAATTTTATGTAAAAAATAAAAATATTTTTTGGGTGGACTTATCAATTAGGGGTTTGAAATATATATATTATATATATATATATATGACAGGGAATGCTCGGATTATCAGGAAATGTTATGATCGAGTCAAATGCCTATTGACTTTTATTGTTGCTTTGGTTAATGATTGAGATTCCTTCTATTAGTTTAAAGAATCAAAATTTAATTTTATTTGATTTGTTTTCTTATTATGTCTTTGTTTGAAATCAATACTTAACAAATACAAATACGAATAATGTATAAGAGCCTATGCCTCGAGTAGGCCATCTTGACTTTTCACGTTCAGGGAACGACGGACAGTTCCGAAGGAGTATTCAGTGGAGCACTGTGGTGATGACTGATGAGACGTTGGACCGAGTTGGGTTTATGTGATTTGTTGTTAAAAGTGAGTTTAAACCCACTGCCTTGCGATTCTGTAACTCACTTTTCGAACTCACACAGCGGTTTTCGCATCGGCAGTCGCTCTCAAATCAGTCGTGAAGCAGTCATTTTATGATTTGGCATTCTGATAAGGTGGAAGCTTGTAGTTTACTGTTCTTTACAATTTAAGCTAAAGTATTGTTGTATTAGAAGGAATCAATCTCAATTAAATACTGTATGATAATTATTCGTGTCTTTTGTGCTCGTACTTTAATCACATGTTACCCACTAAGCCCACTAATGACCATATCGATGAAGTGACGATATTTCTCCGTTATATACATGTAGATTATGTTTATATTAAAGAAAAAGGTCTAGCTATAGATTTAAGTCCATTCCAACAAGTTCAAGTACCCAACATTGATTTACGACTTACATTAGTGGAATTCGATGTAATTCCAAACAGACATTAATCATTCATAATATTAATTATCCCGCGTCAATTTGCTCTCGACCTTTTTATGGTTAATGATACGTTTAATTCGATTGGAGAAATAATAATTGTTTCCCTGTACACAATAATGTAGTAGCTTGCTAATTAGGTTTGCATCAGGTACTTAACAGGTACTGATGAAGGAAAACATCGTGAGGAAACCGGCTTGTCTTAGACCCAAAAAGTCTCGGGATGTGTCGGGCACAAAGGGCTGTTTTTTTATGTATAACAGGGTGCATACGGGCAGGAGACTCACCTGATATTAAGTGATACGGTTGCTGTACCTTTACATTACTGGAAGGTTTCCGGGCTTTTAACAATTGGTACACTCTTTTCTTAAAAAGACCCTAAGTCGAATTGGTTTGGAAATAAAACTTGCCTTTTAAAAACAATGACAATCACGGAGCAGGTAGAGAAATCTCATGTCTAGAGCTAAAAGGTTGTAGCGCTACTGAGTATTTACTGGGTACTTAAACTGGGGTACTAAAAGCTGTGCCATAAGTACCGGAAAAGATCTATCACTGTTTATAACACAAACGAGTTTATTCTATAGCCATTTAACATAGATATTTTTCGATCATTGGGGTTGCGCATGCTCAAATATGAGAACACTGCTCTGATCTTGTCTTCACATAAGACCAGAAAAGACAAGTACCTATTTTAATTAAAATGAAATTTATTATCAATAAAATTCAAGATACGAGAAAATATAATGATGTTTATAAAGTATATATTTGTGTATTGTTTATAACCCCGTAGGTGACTTATATTATGTGTGTTTAATTTATTTATTCATATTGTATATATCCATGTGACTAAACACTTTGTGTGTTCGAATACCGGTAGTGTAAACAGCTTTTCTGTGTACGCAGTTAATTCTCGCATGAAAACATCATTACGACTGCTGATCGAAAACAAAAATAACGTGTGTCAGGCACAGAAGTCTGGCCGTTTTTCTACAAACAACGGCCAAAGGATACAGAGACCCAAGGGTTCTATCGCTACTACGTTTATTAATGTTTACCAAGACATAATTAAATAGACGATTTGCTCAAGTCATTGCTAGGTAATAATAACTTCTTAAAACATTGGATTCTCGAAGCGAAGACAGAAAAAGTAAAAACTAATAAAACTTTACCCATTATGGTAATAAAGGGAATTGGCACACAATTACCATTTTACGAAGGAATTTCTTACTTATTTTATAAAGAATGTGATAGCCATGTGTATTGGCCATTCCTCGATAAAGACGACCTTTATTAAATCTATAACTACCCGACCCGGTAAACGTTATTTGCCGTTATAACAAAACAAATGTATAAACAATTGGGGTTTGTGTAGGTTGTGGAGAAAGAAAGGTTCTCTTCCTCTGACGTAAAGGAAGGATTCTCGACCAGCCTAACTTCTATATTTACGAGATACATTAGGTTGTATGGAGTGTATCCATTTTACCCAGTTATGTATCCAAATTTGTTTGTCTTGGGTGGGTAAGGACCTTACTGTCACATTATATTTATTAAGGTCCTTAGAGGACTGAGACTGGGGCTGCGTGTGCCAATAATCACACTTGGCGTGGTAAGCGGTCGTAGTGCCTCGAGCGCGTAAAAATTTACTCAGAGAAGCGCCATTAGCGTGTCTTGCACACCCTGAATAGTATTGCATGTGAGACGGATATTGAGTTGCACGCTGGCTGAATTCACAAGAATTGCATTATTTATAATTATTAGTTATAAAGATGTTTTTAATTTAATTTTTATATTAAATTTATAATTTTAATTAGTTTTATATTGTATTAGTATTAAGTTACTGTAAAAATTGCAAATAAGGAAATAAATAATAATACTCACTGGCCCTAGTGGCGAGGTCGAGTTAAGTTGTATATATCCTAAGCGTTCCAAATAACTTTGTCGCGTTTTAGGGCATGACGCTAACGTAGTGGCTATAGGCTTTATATATTTTTAATATCAAAATTAAATCATAATTTAATTTTGAGGTGGGACAACGTTATCATTTAGGAATAAAAAATATGACATATTCTTCTACCGAATATACACAAACTCGGTCAAGCCGTTTTTGACGAGATGGTGTGTATGAGAATTATATAGATTACTAGCTGATCCGGCAAACGTCGTTTTGGCATGTTTATCATTTATAATAAAAAATAGGGGTTGATCGTAGAGGGGTGAAAATTAGGGGTTGTATGTATTTTTTAATGCTGTATCATAAAAAAATTATAAAAAATTTAAAAAAATTAGGGGTGGACTATAGGGGTATTAACATTTAGGGGGATGAAAAATAGATGTTGTCCGATTCTCAGTTATACCCAATATGCACACAAAATTTCATGAGAATCGATCAAGCTGTTTCGGAGGAGTTTAACCACAAACACCGCGACACGAGAATTTTATATATTAGATAAAGCTGTTGGTTGTTCAGTACATTTTCTAAAGATTACTCATAAATAAATCAACTATAAACGATTCCAATGTCTCGTATAAGTTTGTAATTATTTAACTAAATTTTATGGCCCTTTTCGCCCTTAAACTCGATCGAAAACATACGGTTATAATAAAATTATAGTTCAGTGTGTTTAGGACAATAATTGGTAACTTGAAGGTTAATTTGGCCACATCAAGGGGATAGTGTAAATATGATCATAGATTATAATTAAACTAATCGCTCTTGGTCAGGCAGAGACAGTCTTGAACATTTAAAACCAGAATTCGTACTTTTTTAGTAAAACTTAGTTTAAAATCTCATACAAATAGGAGTAAAGAAAATCTTACGTTAAAAAGAAAACGTTTATCTTTATTGCTATTTCAGGAAAGCCCAGGGCAGTAAAATAACAATAAAACTTAATTATTGATATTAGGATTCACGGCGCGTTTAGCTTTCCATTCTTGACATTTAAGAAAAAGTATTTATTTATTATTACAATCAAATATACAGTATTTATAATTTTCTTAACCTATATAGTAATAATAAGATTATTACAAGTTAATAAAAAGACAATTGAAACAAATTTAAAAACTTTGGTAATTGGCAGTGTACTTTTTACGCTGGCAATATGTTCTCGATGTATTGCGATACTTATTCGTTAAGTAAAGCACCTTCTATACTTGACGCTGGCTAATGCACAAATCGTGCCAGAGCCATTAAAAAAAAAAAAAAGTGAAGCACCAGCTCTGGTGTTACCGGTACCTTAGTAGTTTAATTAAAAATAAACTTTCAGAATGCTTTTACAAATTTACTAGAAATTTGGTATTCTAGAGTATGTTATGGTCCAGTAGTTCACTTATCCACTTGCCTAAAGGTTAGTATAAGGATAAGATTCAAAACGAGATAGCGGAAACTATGTCTTCCGTAGAACGTCAATAGATTCATTCAATAGATCTGTATAGATAGTACATTCACCCCCTAACCCTTTTTAATTAGTTTAACTATAATAATAACCATTGCTATAAAATGGTTTTAATTAAAACTTCGTAATGTTTGATCTTAGACTCTACCCGTATTATGTCAAAATTTAAATCTAATATATAAAATTCTCGTGTCACAATGTTCGTTCCCATACTCCCCCGAAACGGCACGACCGATTCTTATGAAATGTTTTATGCATATTCAGTAAGTCTGAGAATCGGCTACTATCTATCTTTCAAACCCCTAAGTGATAAGGGGTGTCCACCCCTAAAATTTTGTTTTTATTTTTTTATGAAAATATAGTACATAAACAAATTAATGCTCTTGGGCTCTTGGGCCATGGGGTTCAAGTGCAAAGGCGCTAACTAAAGATTTAAATTGCCTGGTACCGGTGACCAGAGCTGGTGCGTTCCTCGCTCAACATATAAGTATTGCACTACAGGGAACAATCTTTTTAAATTTGTTTTAATTCTCTTTTTATTAATTTCAAATTATTTTTATTATTACCATGTAGGTTAATTTACTTAAAAATAATATAATAGTACATATTGCGTGATAGACAGTGTTTTAGGGATCCTTCCTTTAGGCCAGAGGAAGAGCACAACATCCTTCCTTCACACCCAAAAACCTCTTTCTTACCCCAAACTGTGCTGTTTTTCAAGTTCGAACTTATTTAATACAATCGTTCCGACCACATTTTGTCCATTTTACATAGATCATGCAATAGCAATACAATTTAAAGGAATGCAAGGTCAGAATATTCTGATAAATTCGGAATCGGAGTAAATTCATTTGTATTGTTTATTGCGTTTTTCCATTAGCGAGAAAACATTGAATACTATCAACTTTACGACCACGAGTTAGCGTGCGTAATTATGGATATATATTACACATATATGTTCAAGTATATGTATATCTTTAATTAGCGATATATATATACATGTTTTTGTCTATGTACATTATATGTCTATTTTTAGTGGTGCTCTGGATTTTATTATAATAATTTTGTTTATTCATAAGGTAATATGTTTATTTCAGCCAAAGTTCTTAGACAGTTTAAGACGAAAAGAGCGAAAGACACAAGATATATTCTACGATATTCATAGAACCAAATTTTTATATTGTATATTATTTGTATATTTTTATTAATTTTATTTTTATTCCATATCATTATTCTATTTTTACAGTAATTACTAATTCGATAGAACGACATAATAATTATGCCAAGCATTCTCAAGCAGATTGAATAATGTACTGTTTTGTAAATTCTGATTAAAATATATATCATTAATAGATTTTTACGAGATAATTCTCGTACGCCAATTTGTCAAATCAAGCATATAACATTTAGAATAATGCATACAAAACATTGGTATACGTCAATAGGTACAATTGTATGTACTACAATTCGTAATCTAACACGCATTCAGACACTATTTCAAAGTTTGTTAGACATCCCACAGAAATATTTCTCAGAACATTGACAGCACAGATAAAGAGAACAGTTAAATACCAGTTATAGATGATTAAAAAGTTTTTACATCGTAATTAGTGAAAATATTATTCAAATTGTAAAAAAAATCTAATCATCCAAACTGTTGGAACAAACATACCCAGTCTAGCTAACAAACAATTTAACCAACATTGAATTATACTTACATTTGCCAATTATTTATTAGTGTTTAAAATTGAAGTGCATTTTAGAATTTTGAAAAAATGTAACAGAGAATGAACCAAGCAAGCCAAGGAAAGAGAAAGAGCAAGATCTTGGTAGAAACAGGACATCTTCTGTCTTGTGCATGACAGTTCATTCTCTATGCGCAAAGTTTATAATTAGTCGAAATGCAAAGCTTACAGATGGATGCGCCGGATGTTCCTGTCCCTTGACATTCTGGAGCTGTTTATTGTGGACAGTTGGTGTACGTTCTCCCTGCGCAGTGGATGCACTGGCGACAGCTCCGGCGCTGCTGCCGGCTGGCGATTTGGCTTGTGGTGAACTTGTTGATGTGGTTCTGGACAGTTAAGACTTTGTATTGCAAAATACTATACACGAGATACGCAGGTACCCAATCATGCATGATTGGTTCTTTTCTACATGGGTGATCTTACGCCAAAGCCGTCAAAGCTTTATATAATAATACTTCCAATAGAAACATTTTATTTTACGTAGCATTAATATCACGCTATCCCGTCACATATTAATCTAAAGTTAGAGTTAAGGTACTTACTCGAGTTGCGCCCTGTGATAGTACATGAAACAAAAAAATACTTATTAGTTTTATTTGTGAGAGATAGAGTAAAAAGAATACGATGTCATTTGTTTTATTAGAATAGCAACACCACACAATATCATAGACATCTTCAGGTTGTAAATTGTCAATGTGACAAAGTCAATTTGCCAGTAGTAGATCGATCGTTGAGTCAGTGATGCCAACATGGAAGTTTCTCCCTAAATTTTGGAGTCAAGATATCCAGGTGCCTTTTTAGAGGGTACTTTTTTAAGAACTTTTTTAAACGCACTTTTCTATACTATTTATCTTTGAACCAAACCAAACTTGAGCTCTAAGCGTGGTTATAACTAATACTCGAAGATAGAAATAATAGCTCGACGGTTAGAAAGTACAAAAACCTCTAAAAGTTATGTATGAAAAGAAAATGAGGAAAAGGCAAAAATATATACACGGAAATTTAAGAAAAACTGAATTTAAAGACAGAAAAGTTAAGAAATATAATCATTAGTACATAATATTTTTAATTTATATTTAAAATTACCTCTCAAACCGAGTGTACAATATCATAAAGAGTTTTAAGTCGATATTTAGGGGTATTTGTACGTTGATTATATTCTGTAGGAGATGGCATCACTGTTGCTCTCTGATCAGCGTAAAGAATAGAGGAAATAAGGGCAGGCACATTTATGAGTGATCATGTCTTAAGGTGCGTACAGACTTTATAACATAACATTTTTTAAAAAATTTCTTAAAAAAACTGTTTCAAAATAATGGGCCCCCTGGTTTTTAAAAAAATTTTTAAAAAAATTTTTTTTTTTTTTTTTTTGGGGGGCACCCCCCCCCCCCTTTTTTTTTTTTTTTTTTTTTTTTTTTTTTTTTTTTTTTTATATTTTTTTTTTTTTTTTTTTTTTTTTTTTTTTTTTTTTTTTTTTTTTTTTTTTTTTTTTTTTAAATATTTTATTAAATTGGGTGTTTTTTTAATTTTTTTTTTAACACCTAAGGCAAGTAGGTGACGAGCCTTCTGTGAGTTCAATCCAAAACTAAAATCTTCAAATCATCCGACTGATTTAGAAATGTGTACCCCTGCTCCTGACTGTGTCAGGGGAATGAGGGGCTCTAGCTTCTTCACAATCACTGCTATTTAGAGATTGGTTGGGCAGTACCCACTAAACTGGTAGTTTAAAAGGCAAGTTAGAGTGGCTCCGGGGTCGCTCTGGCATTCTATTGTGGTACATTCTTACCCCAGATCGACTTCAACTCAAATTCAAACTCAAAATATCTTTATGGGTAACCAAGTACACTTTTAATTGTCAAGTTAAATTAATTGTAAATTTACATTTACTACCAGTTCCAAGTCAAGGGCGTAGAGGGGGTAAGAAGAACTGGCAAGAAACTTTCCGCCACTCTTTTTAATCGCCAAGTATTGTCATACAAATTGTTAGAACTGGAGCAAATCAATCCCAATCATTTAAGTATTCCGTAAGCGTATAAAACGCTTTATTGATTAATTGCCGTTTAACGAGGGCTTTGAATTTATTTAGTGATAATTCTCTAATATCGCTTCAACTACGATACCGACAGGATCCCGATCCCAATAATATCCAAGGTTGCGACATCAGCGTTATGGATAAAGAACAACATCGAATTTGCATACAAAAAGTCAGGATCCATAGACATAGACATAAAATTTAATAACTAACAAAAACACAAGCACATAATAACAATAATCAAAGAAAAAAAAATATAATGAGAGATTTAAAAAAAATCCCTTTTCCGATTCGGTTCGTTTCAAGTGTGTAATGCGTGTTTGCTGTTGTTATAATTGGCCCAGGCTCAGCATTATGCTGAGGAGCAGAATGTTCCACAGCGCTGGTCATTCTGCCAGAAACCACAGCAGTCAGTTTGCGCCTCAGTCAAGAGAAGTAATAGTGAGACAGGGAATGCTTAGGTGGTTTGGCCAAATACATTTATTTTCATATAAAATAAAAAAAATTGTAAGTTATTAGATATAATTTAAAGAAATAAGGACAGTAGTAAAATTGTCACAAAAATTTAATTTAAAATTTAAATAGCACCTAAGACAAAACAAGCACACTTTAAATATTGTTTATCAAAACTACAAGGTTTGGCTGGCAAGGAATTAAATTAGAACTGTTTACAAAAAGTCAAATTAAGTTATTTGTATTACAAACATTGGCTAAGAAGTTATGAAAGATTGTTATTAACAACTTCAATTGTGAGGTTTCAAAAGTAGTTCTATTCGGATATATTTAATAAATAGTACTTCAAATCAAAGATCTAAGGATTTTAAGTCTATCAATTGAATGTGTTATTGAATTATCTGTGTAGAACTGGAGAATATGATAGTATTGTACCGGCCCCCTTCCGGAGTATTACAAATTGAGTCTGTAATGGAAGATGTATTAAAAGACTGACTAGAAAACGAAAGTCGGTATTATTTGCGGAGATTTTAACAAAATACTTAAAGTAATTCAGTAAGCACTAGATTTATTTCAATGTTTAATTGTTTCAATTTAGTAAACAATTCTCTAAAAAAAATCACCTCCCATTCACAACTTGTTTAGATAACAATTTCAGTGACAAACCTATTTTAAATCAGATAAAAACCTTACTTCGAATTGTGGTCTGATAGTTGGCTTCTCTAAAAATTTTGATAAGCATAATATGCCCCATCACAAAAAGTCGCATCAAAGTTTTAGGCAAAATATTAATTCTAAGGTTTGTGCAATAGATTACTCTGTTCTAAATAATTCGGAGAGTCAATACAAAAGATTGTTTAATTTATTCAAAATGAGTGATAGTATTTACCCATTAAAGACTGTAAAGTGCAACAAAAAAAAATAAGTGATGATGGGCACAGAGGTATTTTCAAAAGTAGGAATAGGCTTTATGAATTTTGCATTAAGAAAATATATCAAGTGTTTATATGTCAGAAATTATTAAAATAGAAAAGTTTGCAATTAAAGGCATTCTATCGTGAGAAAATAATTCAAGTAATAAAATCAAAATACTTGGAATGTTATAAATCGAGAAAAGAAACTTAAATCCGTAATAATTCATTCTCTTTAAAGGTAGATGATAAGATTATTGTTGAAAGCTCAGAGATTGCTGATATTTTTGAAGATTTCTTTACAAACATACCTGTAATACACATCTTCTCTTAATTCCTCTTCCAAAGAGGCTATTAGTTTTCTTAAAAGTCACGTACCGGAATGCAAAATAAATTTTCAGTTTAAGCACGTTAGCGCTGGTGATGTAGTTAAAACTTAAATCTTTAAAATTAAAACATTCTGGAGACTTGTGGGATGTTTCTGTACGTATTATTAAGGAATTATAGATATTATTGCCCCAGATCTTGCGTATATTTTTAACAATTGTATTGATGAAGGAAGTTTTCAGATTAATGAAGTAGTAAAATAATACCTTTATTTAAATCTGGATGAGGACAGCTATAATTTTAGACCCATCTCAATATTGCAACTTTAAGTAAAGTTTTTGAAAAAATTATACTAGAACAATTAATTACATTCTTTAATACAAAAGTTTCTACAAAGCACAATTCGGTTTTACTAAAGGTCGCTCCACTACCGATGCTGGAATAGCTCTGTTACGACATATATTTGATGCATGGGAGAAAACTCAAAATGTACTGGGAGTTTTCTGCGATTTGTCCAAGGCGTTTGATTGTGTTGATCATGAGACTCTGCTTTGCAAACTTGACCACTATGGTATAAAAATGTAGCTCTTAACAAAACCTCTTACCTAAGTTGTCGAACTCAAAAGTTGATATAATGGAACTAAATTCGGATACATATTAAAATGGAGTCCCTCAAGGATCAATATTAGGACCATTTTTATTTCTTATATATATTAAGATTTGCCTTCTTATTCAAAGCCATTATGTGATATTGTATTGTTTGCTGATGAACGTCCTTGATTTTTAAAGTAAATAGATATAAGAAAATTTTGACGATGTGAACAATGCACTTTCTAAAATAGTGTGCTAGTTTTCTGCAAATAATTTACAGTTAAATGCCACAAAAACAAAATGTATAAGATTTACTTTACCTAATGTTAAAATACAACTAAGAGCTTAAACTGAACAATGAAAAACTAAATTTAGTTGATTCTACGGTATTTCTGGGCATTACAATAGACCAAAAATCAATGGAGTCAGATATCACTAAACTTTCTGACAAGTTAGTTCTGCGGCAACTATTAGGAAAATTAGGCAACTCACAGACAGGAAACTGCCAGAATAGTATATTTTAGTTACTTTCAAGCGTTATGTCGTATGGAATTCTTTTATGGGGCAAAGTAGCAGATATACAATCTATTTTTATCTTGCAAAAACGTGCTATTAGGTCAATTTATTGCTTGAAACCAGGCACTTCACTTAGAAATTTGTTCAAGGAAATCGATATTTTGACGGTACCTTCCCAATATATTTACAACTGTATCGTTTTTGTGCGTAGTAATATTAGTTCTCTTTTAAAGAAAGCGACATTCACAATAGGAATACAAGAAATAAGGAAAACTTTTCCAGCCGTCTTACAGGTTGCAGAAAATAAATACTTCATTTATGGGCCTAAGTATACGCTGCTATAACAAGATTCCTAGTGAAATATTGGAACTGCCTTTAAACAGATTCAAAAACACATCAAAAAAACCTTAATTGTAAAGGTTACTACACAGTCAATGATACCTGGAAGATAAAAAGCTTGGCAATAGTTCTAATTATATTCTATAATTTGAAGTGTTATGAATATGTG